GAATGTCAACTTGACCTTCAATTATTCTGCGCTTCAGGCCGGAGCACATGTCTCCTGCCGTGTGGGACTATATATTCCTAGGCAAAGGCGATCCGGCAAAGTTGGCCGCCGAGACCTACACAACTGCAACTGTGGACTCTCTGCGTAGACTGCGTCGCGAATTCCTCTACTGGTATCCCGTTGACCTACATGTTAGCGGGAAGGATCTTCTCTCCAACCACCTTACGTACTATCTCTACAATCACGTAGCAATGTGGCCGAAGGAGCCAAAGATGTGGCCTGTTGGTGTCCGAGCAAATGGTCTGCTTCTTCTCAATTCCGAAAAGGTAAGGGACGCCGTCCGATTTTGGCTTGGCATTTCTGTTTTATAAGTCCTGCGTACGGTCTTAAGTCCACACTACTTAATGTGCAGGTGTTATGGTTGTCTACAACCACATAATACAATAATGTACATTTCTGCGGTCGTCGGAGCCACTCGATTTACTCTCACACCGTCTTTCTTCGCTTAACTATTTGGTTTGTCCCATGTTTTGCCAGCACTCAAAAGCAATTTGTATACAGTAGATTTGCTATTTCGTTAAATGTTAACCGAAATTTCGGATTATGTTTCGCCTCGAAAATATTACTTAAGTATGGTTATTGTACCAAGATATTTCGCTTACGTCGAGGTGCCTTCTGTTGAATGAGCTATTTCCAGGCGCCTGCCAAAAGTACACTGTAAAAGATGACTCCTTAAGTTCTGTGAATTCTTCTCATTTATTTTCGATGCCCTTATGAATGCAAATATATTTGTCGAAGAGCCATCTACTACTACTGCTTTATTTATTTATACACCTGGAATGCGAACATTCGCCTCACTTTTACTTGAAGAAAGGGTATCTTTGGCTTAAAAACCTTAATTTAAAACCTTAATATACAGAATAGCTTTAAATCCGACCGACCGTTCCATTTGTGGCCAAACTACACATTTCTCTACGCTATACGACTTTTGCCGTATAGTGCTAGTAACATTTTGCACTTGGTGGCGACCAAGTTATATGCCTTATAAACAGCATGGTTAAGTGTACAGATACGATGATTTATTACTGGATAAAAAATACTTCCATGTACTTTTTTACTCTAAAAAAATATTTCACTTTATAAGGGCATGAAAAATCGAATACAGTAGTCGCCGGTTATTAAGCCCACGGTTAATAGGCCCAGCCGCG